ATGGCCGTGGCCAGAGGAGCAGTCAGCGGTCAGTGGTGGTCAGTGGGGTCAGCGGTCAGTGGTCAGCGGTCAGCAGTCAGTGGTCAGTGGTCATTGGGGTGGTCAGTGGGGTGGTCAGCGGTCAGTGGTCACTCACAGCACTGTCCGGATGGCCGTGGCCGGAGGAGCAGTCAGTGGTCAGTGGTGGTCAGTGGGGTCAGCGGTCAGTGGTCAGCGGTCAGCGGTCAGCAGTCAGCGGTCACTCACAGCACTGTCCGGATGGCCGTGGCCGTGTGGGTGGGGCCGCGGAGCTGCCGGACGTTCCGGAGGAGCCGGGCGGGGTCCAGAATGTTCCGGAAGGTCCGGAAGTCAAAGTGGGTCTGGATCGCGTTCGAGAACTGCGTGAGGGAGAACTGGACAGATGGACACCGAGTGACCACCGGAGCGGTCACTCCGGACCAGCCCCAGCAGCCACCGGTGGATGACCTTCGGTGGTCAGTGGTCATTGGGTGGTCACCACTTGGTGTCCACGGAGATGAATGACCAGGATGACCATTGGGTGGTCAGTGGTCAACGTCCATGGAGATGAATGACCAAGATGACCATTGAGGGTGACCACTCCACACCCATGACCATGAATGACCCAAGATGACCACAGGGGTGGTCACCACTCAATGTCTGTGGAGATCAATGAGCAAGATGACCATTGAGGGTGACCACATCCATGACATGAATGACCAAGATGACCACTGGGTGGTCACCACTCAACATCCATGACATGAATGACCCAAGATGACCACTGGGGTGGTCACCACTCCATGTCCATGGATGTGAATGACCATTGAGGTGGTCACCACTCAACGTCCATGGTGATCAATGACCAAGATGACCATTGGGGTGGTCAATGGTCAACATCCATGGAGATCAATGACCAAGATGACCATTGGGGTGGTCAATGGTCAACGTCCATGGAGATCAATGACCAAGATGACCATTGGGGTGGTCACCACTCAACGTCCATGGACAACAAATGACCAAGATGACCACAGGGGTGGCCACCACTCATCATCCATGGACATGAATGACCATTGAGGTGGTCACCACTCCACACCCATGACCACAAATGACCCAAGATGACCACAGGGGTGGCCACCACTCAACGTCCATGGAGATCAATGACCAAGATGACCATTGGGGTGGCCACCACTCAATGTCCATGGAGATCAATGACCAAGATGACCATTGGGGTGGTCACCACTCAATGTCCGTGGAGATCAATGACCAAGATGACCATTGGGGTGGTCAATGGTCAACGTCCATGGAGATCAATGACCAAGATGACCACAGGGGTGGCCACCACTCAATGTCCGTGGAGATCAATGACCAAGATGACCACAGGGGTGGTCAATGGTCAACGTCCATGGAGATCAATGACCAAGATGACCATTGGGGTGGTCAATGGTCAATGTCCATGGAGATCAATGACCAAGATGACCATTGAGGTGGTCACCACTCCACACCCATGACCACAAATGACCCAGGATGACCACAGGGGTGGCCACCACTCCAGCCCAGCCCAGCTGACCAGCGAGGTGACCCCCGAGGTGACCAGGGAGGTGGCCAGCGGTGGCCAGGTGGGCGTTACCTGGGCGTCGGCGCGGCGGAAGCGCCGCATGACCTCGGCGATGAAGCTCTTCATGGTCTCGAAGTCGCTGCTGGCGATGCTGCCCGAGCCGTCCACCAGGAAGGCGATGTCCAGCGAGAGCTTCGGACACTCTGCGGACAGAGTGACCACAGCCAGGAGTGACCATGGTCATGGGTGACCATGGTTGTGGGTGACCACGGCCATGAGTGACCACGGCCAGGAGTGACCATGGCCAGGAGTGACCACAACCATGAGTGATCACAGCCATGAGTGACCACGGTCATGGATGACCATGGTCATGGGTGACCACGTCCATGAGTGACCACGGCCAGGAGTGACCACGGCCAGGAGTGACCATGGTCATGGGTGACCACAGCCAGGAGTGACCATGGCCAGGAGTGACCACAACCATGAGTGACCACGGCCATGAGTGACCACGGCCAGGAGTGACCACAGCCATGAGTGACCACAGCCAGGAGTGACCATGGCCAGGAGTGACCACAACCATGAGTGATCACAGCCATGAGTGACCATGGCCAGGAGTGACCACAACCATGAGTGATCACAGCCATGAGTGACCACGGTCATGGATGACCATGGTCATGGGTGACCACGTCCATGAGTGACCACGGCCAGGAGTGACCACTTCACCGAGTGACCATGGCCCTGAGTGACCACAGCCAGGAGTGACCATGGCCATGAGTGACCACAATGACCACTGGAGTGGCCAATGGTCAACATCCATGGCCATGAGTGACCACAATGACCACTGGAGTGGTCAATGGTCAACATCCATGGCCATGAGTGACCACGATGACCATTGGGATGGTCAGTGGTCAACATCCATGGCCATGAGTGACCACGATGACCACCAGGTGACCACTCCACGCCCATGGCCATGAATGACCCAAGATGACCGTTGGGTGGTGACCACTCCACGCCCACGGCCATGAGTGACCACGATGACCACTGGAGTGGTCAATGGTCAACATCCATGGCCATGAGTGACCACGATGACCACTGGAGTGGTCAATGGTCAACATCCATGGCCATAAGTGACCACGATGACCACTGGGGTGGTCAATGGTCAACATCCACGGCCATGAGTGACCACGATGACCACTGACCACCCCCTACCTGGGAATTTCTCCGGGAGGCTCCGGACCGGCCGCAGGGCGGAGTCCAGCTGGACGCAGAAGCCGTTGAGGTGGACATTGACCCCGCACACCTGGGGGGAGGTGGGGCCACACACCTGGAGGGGGGTGGGGTCACATTTTGGGCGGGGTCAACCTCGATTTCACCTCAAAAAAGTCAATTTTGGGTCAAATCCCAAAATCCCGGGGGCCAAAGTCCCTCGGGAAAGAAATTTGGGGTTCCACCTCCTGGATGTTCTACCAAAAACACAAATTTGGGTGAAACCTCCAAAAAACCCCAAAATTTTGGGGTAAAACCTAAAAAAATCAAATTTTTGGGTTCCAACCCTCAAATTTTGGGATAAAACCTCCTAAAAATCCCATTTTTGATGTTCCACCTCCTCAATGTTCCACAAAATCCCAAATTTTGGGGTAAAACCTCCTGAAAAAAACCAAGTTTTGGGTTCCAAACCCCAAATTTTGGGGTAAAACCTCCTAAAAAACCCAATTTTCGGACCTCCAACCCCCAAATTTTGGGGTAAAACCTCCCAAAAATCCAATTTTTGATGTTCCTTCTCCTCAATGTTCCACAAAATCCCAAATTTTGGGGTAAAACCTCCTAAAAAAATCCAATTTTTGGGTTCCAACCTTCAAATTTTGGGATAAAACCTCCTAAAAACCCCAATTTTCGGACCTCCAACCCCCAAATTTTGGGGTAAAACCTCCCAAAAATCACCCAACACCCCCCCCCAAAAAATT